GAATACACATTACTGCAAAAGAGAAAAAGATTTTCTGAAAAAGAAAGAAAGAACATATCTGCTGAAAATCAACTTTTGGAAAAAGAAGTGTGCAAGATCAATTCAAGAAGATGAAGTTCATATAGAAAATTCATTCTAAACTGGTTTACGTTGTTGAAGATCATATCTACACGAACAGGTGTACTCGTTTCTGATCTTTTGTTATTGTTTGAATGGTTTTAACTCTTGAGATTAGAGAATCTCTGGAAGAGTTGTGTAAAGAGAAATCTTGAGATAGGTTTTTCTCAAGTAGGATATTGTGGGATCAATATTCTTGGGTTATATGTTTCTTGTGGAGTCAAGAAATGGTTTGTTAATCTTGTGGGTGTCAAGATTTGCTTGTTAAATTCATTGATTGGATATTGCTTGTGCAGGGTGCATGTAAAGAATATCAATAGTGGATTTGACTGGATTTAGAGGTGTATCTAAATCTGAAACTGGATGTAGGCCTTTGGATGGCTGAACCAGTATATATCTTGGTGCATGATTTTCTTAACTCTTACACTCTTTACATTCTGTATAAGTTTCTTGATTAATGTTGTATGAAGAAAAACATTATCTGCAGAAACTGAACTTTAAAGATTCTTGGTAATTGATAAATTCAATCTTTACATATCTTGTATTAATTGTGTTATTCAAATCTTGTTGGATAAGCTGTGCATATATAACTCTGAATTACTTTTTATGTTTAAAGGTTTGTTTTAAATCAAGATTTGTTTGGTAAAGATTTAGAAAGCAAACAACAAAAGGAAAACTAACATAGAATCTATTCAACCCCCCCTTCTAGATTCTAACCGTAGGGACCAACAGCAAGGTGTGGGTCATATCAAGCAAGTGACAATTCTTACGTTCAACAATGTCGTTTTGCTTACGGGTATTAGGACAAGGACATTGAGACACAACGCCTTTTTGTTGAAGGTATTCCTAAAACTCATAAGACATGTATTCACTGCTAGAATCTGAGTGGAAAATTTTAATTTTGGTTTGGAATTGAGTATCCATATATGTCATGAATTTCTTAAACATGTAAAACACTTTAGACTTAAAGTGAAGAAAATATATCCAAGTAAAATGGACGTAATCATCAATAAATGTGACAAAATACTTATAATGAGCATGAGAAGCAACAAGAGACATACCCCAAACATCACTATTAATTATTTCAAAGCAAGAGGAAGCACGATGAGCACTAGTCGAAAAATGAAGTGTTTTACTTTTAGCCAATTTGCAAATAGAACGGGAAATAGGTGTAGCATTAACAACATTTTTATTTCCCAGCAAACCAATTCTAAATAAGTGAGAAAAAAAAGTAGAATTTGGATGACCCAATTTTTTATGTCATACCTCATATAGATTCAAAACTGTCAGACTTTGAGAATTTTCTTGATTTTTTGAATACAAAATCTGTTGTACTGTGCTTGTTTTGACAGCAATCTGTTTTAGGTGAAGATTAGGTGATATGGAGTATGTTTTTGGTAAATATGCAATAGGAAAAAAGTGGGTAGTATAACTAAGTCAACAATGTATGCATTTTTTGAATATTAAGCTTGTAACATCAAAAGTTGTTGTATTGTAACTTGCATATATGAAGAAAAACGTGAATGAAAAACTGATTTGCCCACTAAGAACGTCCTACTCTGTTTTTCTCTCCACTCTCCCTATCATTCTATTTTCATTTTTCATCATGGTATCAAGAGCTTCATTGATATTTTAGGGTCTGTGAGGGAGAAAGAAAAAAAATCTGAAAAACAGAGTTTCTGGGTGTGAGAGAAAACCAGCAAGAAACCCACTCAAAAAAACCTTCAACCAATGGCTTCCGGTAGCAATTCCTTGCCTCCGCCTCCAGTATTTGCTGGAGAAAATTATGATTTGTGGGTTGCAAAGATGAGAACTTATCTTAGAGCTCAAAGTTTGTGGGAAGTGGTGGAAAATGGAAGCAACCCAGCTCCTTTACCAGATAACCCAACAATGGCTCAGGTAAGATTTCATAGTGATGAAGTGGCTAAAGAAGGCAGAGAACTTGCCATCATACAAGCAGCTGTTCATGATGATGTTTTTATCAAGATTTTGAATCTTGATACAGCAAAAAAGGCTTGGGAAAAACTTCAGGAGGAGTTCCAAGGTAGTGAAAGAACAAGGAGAATGAAGGTGCTAAATTTGAGAAGAGAATTTGAAGCCATCAAAATGAAGGAAGCTGAAACAGTGAAGGAGTTTGCTGATAGGTTTTCTAAAGTGGTTACACAAATCAGATTATTGGGTGAAGAACTCAGTGATCAACGAGTTGTGGAGAAAATATTGGTATGTCTCCCGGAGAGGTTTAAGTCAAAAATCTCCTCTCTTGAAGAAAATAAGGATTTTTCTCATATATCAATTTCAGAACTTGTAAATGCTTTACAAGCCACTGAACAGAGAAGATCCTTAAGGATGGAAGAAAATGTTGAAGGTGCTTTTGTGGTTAATACCAAAGGCAAATTTCAAGGCAATAGTAGTTGTGGAAAAAAAACCATTTAGTGGGAAGAAAGGAAAAGAAAAAAACAAGAAGAAAGTAACAGAGGAAGAGGTTGGAAAGACAAGTATTCACCTTGCTATTACTGTAAGAAGAAGAATCATATAGAAAATTTCTATTGGTTTAGACCAGGAGTCAAATGCAGGGCATGCAACCAACTTGGTCATGTGGAGAAAGTGTGCAAAAGCAAAGCAAAACAACAGGGACAACAAGCCCAAGTTGTTGAGCATGAAGAACAAAATAAGGAGCATTTATTTGTTGCTTCTTATTATTCAACAAACAGGAGCAATGAGGTGTGGCTTATAGACAGTGGTTGCACAAATCTCATGACAAATGATGCAAGTATTTTCAAGGAATTAGATCAGTCTCATTTTTCAAAATTCACTAATGGCAATGGAGAAAGTGTTGAAGTTAAAGGCAAATGAGTAATTGCTGTAGAAACTTCTTCAGGTACTAAATATATTTCAAATGTTTTATACGTACCTAAGATAAATCAAAATCTTCTAAGTGTGGGACAAATGCTTGAAAAGAATTATACTTTGCATTTTGAAGACATGAAATGCACCATATTTGATCCTTCTGGGTGTGAGCTAATGTCTATCAAAATGAGAGATAAGAGTTTTCCAATAGAATGGAAGCAACCTCCTATGCATGCTTTTCCAAGTTCAATAGATGATTCTGTTTTATGCCACAAAAGACTTGGTCATTTTAGTTACTCCACCTTACATATAATAAATAATATTTAGTCTGTACATTGTACATACTAAAATACTAGTAAGATAAAAAATTAAAATATAATTTAGCTATTTTAAAAAACCAGTTTTATTCAAAAATCAATTTTCTCAGTCATCAGTTTCAAACACACTTAATTAATAGATGAGTATAGGTGACAATCATGGTTATCAGTTATCTGTGTTTTTGGTGAATCCATAACCTAAGCCATGTACAAGTGAATAGCCATACATACTTGTGTCTACTTTACGTATATAATTGGGAATGTTCACATGCCATTCGTGTATTCAGGAATCATGATGCAGAAAACCGGGAACAGCATTGGACCTCGTTACCTTCGATTTTACTCATGAAACGTTTTCTTAATATTAGTGCATAAAACAGGTTTGACTCTTGACTAGCTAGTAGTTTATCAATTCGAAAAAAAAAAGTTAGTAGTTTATCATTTTTTTTCCCTAGTGCATCCTATTCTAGACTCAACTTAAAACAATCATTTATTTATTTATATAAATTATAATTTATATTATTTTTTATATTAATTATTTTTAGATTAATTAAAAAATATAAATATTAATTAGGAGAGAGAAATAATATATGACAAACTCTAATTGATTAAAATATATATAAATATTAATTAAGAAAGAAAAATAATATAATGATAATTTTTTTTATAAATAATATATAAATATGACAAATTTATTGTTATTAACTAAATTAATTATTTTTTTAATTCCAATGAATTTGATAAGTAGGTAAGTAGTATATTGTATTTAATCCATGCAACTCTCATGAAAAACTTGGAGGAAGCCAACGTGCTAGTGACGTCAAACTTCACATGTCTCGCTAGTGGCCTAGTGGGTTTGTTATAGTTGCATTTCTTTCTTTCAGGTAAAGCACCACTCTCTCTCTCTCTTTCTCTCTTTTAATAACCCATGAAGAGATAACAAAACAAGAACAGTTTTCTCACTAATACAAGATCATGAAGGTCCTTAATTTTTCTGTTCCTTGAATTGCATTTTTTGTTACTTTTCCCAAGTCTTGTTTTCATGACATGTTAATCTTGTTGTATGTGATTGGCAGGGGTCTCATGTGGAGCTATGGTCAGTTTGGCTATCTGGGTTTGTCTTCATTGCTCTCTCTCTCTATGCCACTCACAGATTACCTTCACTCAAGGATCACAGCAGAATTTCCAAACATGCCACTTTGGATTACTCAAGTCTTAGTATCACCACATTCTCAGCTCCTAAACCCTTTAAGGGCTCTACTGGGATCAGACAGACACTGGCTGTTAAGTCATGGTTGGCACTGTCTCCATATGTTACTGTTGTTTTGTTTAGTCAAGATCCTTCTGCTGCATCTTTCGCAGATGCTTTCGATTCCAGGGTTGTGGTTGACACTAACATTGATTTCACGTAAGTAAACACACTGGCCCTTGTGTGCTGAAAGATAGTACTCATGAATTGATATTCATTACAGAATGTGCTACTCTGGTGGTGTTTAGTTGTGTTAGACTTTGAGAATTTTCTTGTTGTTTTGAATACAAAATCTGTTGCACTGTGCTTGTTTTGACAGCAATCTGTTTTAGGTAAAAATTAGGTGATTTGGTGTATGTTTTTGGTAAATATGCAGTAGGTAAAAGTGGGTATACAACTAAGTCAACAATGAATGCATTTTTTGAATACTAAGCTTGTAACATCAGAAGTTGTATTGTAACTTGCATATATGGAGAAAAAAACGTGAATGAAAAACTGATTGCCCACTAAGAACTTGTCTTGCTCTGTTTTTGCTCTCCACTCTTCCTATCATTCTGTTTTCATTTAGATCTGACAATGGAACTGAGTATACAGCAGGGGAATTTAAAAAATTTTGTGATCAACCTGGAATACAACATCAGTTCACCGTTCCTTACACTCCTTAACAAAATGGAGTGAGTGAAAGAAAGAACAGAACAGTGATGGAGATGGCTCGGTGTTTGCTCTTTGAGAAAGGTCTTCCAAAGACTTTTTGGGCTGAGGCGGTACATACCTAAGTTTACTTGCTAAATTTATTTCCTACCAAAGCTTTGAAGGGTAAAACACCCTATGAAGCATGGTGTGGAAGGAAGCCTTCAGTGGAGCATTTAAAAATATTTGGTTGTATGTGTTACACTCATGTTCCAAATGTGAAAAGAGATAAACTTGATCATAAGTGTGAATTTGGTATTTTTTTGGGGTACAATATTAACTCCAAAGGATACCGAGTATACAACTTGGAGCAAAAAAAATCATTGTTAGCAGAGATATAAAATTTGATGAGTTTTCAAAATGGAATTGGAAGAAACATCAAGCAGAAGGCTCAAGTAAAGGGCTGTTTGATGAAGACACTTTGCAAGAACAAAATTCTGAAGATGATAAAGAGAACTATGATAGTGACACTGAATTTCCAGTGAGAGGTACAAGAACCTTGGAGGATATTTATGCAAGATGTAATGTTGTTGCTTTAGAGCCTACAAGGTATGAAGAAGCTGCTGAGTTTGAAAGCTGGAGAGCTGCGATGAAGTAGGAGATAAAGATGATTGAGAAAAATAAAACATGGCAACTTTTTGATAGGCCAAGTAATAAAAAAGTGATTGGTGTTAAGTGAGTTTACAGAACTAAACTCAATTCTGATGGTTCTGTAAACAAACTTAAGGCTAGATTGGTGGTAAAAGGTTACTTCCAACAGTATGGAGTTGATTTTTCTGATACGTTTGCACCTGTTGCAAGACATGATACAATCAGATTATTGATCTCTTTGGCAGCAAAACTTGACTGGAAAATTTATCATTTTGATGTAAAATCAGCTTTTCTAAATGGATTGCTTGATGAAGATATATATGTTGATCAACCTGAAGGTTTTCAGGTTCCAAGAAGTGAAGATAAAGTCTATAAGCTGCATAAAGCTCTTTATGGCTTAAAACAGGCACCAAGAGCTTGGTATAGCAGAATTGATGGTTATCTACTGCAAAAGGAATTCAAAAGAAGTGAAAATGAAGCAACCTTGTATGTGAAGAAGTCAAACAATGAAGTGAAACTCATTGTGTCTTTGTATATTGATGATTTATTGGTTATAGGAAATGAATCAAATTCCTTAAGCCAATTTAAGAAGGACATGGAGAAAGAATTTGAAATGACTAACTTGGGTGAAATGAAATACTTTCTTGGAATGGAGATTTCTCAGCAAAATGATGGAATATTCATTTCACAAAGAAAATATGCTTTGGAGATATTGAAGAAGTTTCACATGGAGAAATGCAAGCCAGTTGCTACTCCACTGGTTGCAAATGAAAATTTTCAAAGAATGATGGTGAAAATAGTGTAGATGCTTCTGTTTATAGAAGTATAATTGGAAGTTTGTTGTATCTTTCCGCAACCAGACCAGATTTAATGTTTGCTGCAAGTTTGCTTTCCAGATTCATGCATTCTCCAACTCAAGTTCACTTTGGTGCAGCAAAAAGAGTTTTGAGATATATAAGAAGTACAACTGATTATGGTTTGTATTTCTTAAAAAATGAAAGTGGAGAACTTCAAGGATATGCAGATAGTGATTGGGCAGGAAGTATTGATGATTCTAAAAGCACCTCTGGATATGTGTTTTCATTTGGCAGTGCTGTTTTTTCTTGGAATTCAAAGAAACAGGATGTTGTGGCTCAATCTTCAGCTGAAGCTGAGTATATTTCAGTTGTAGCTACTGCAAATCAAGCTATTTGGCTGAGAAAGATTTTATTAGATGTGGGGTAGATTTAAGATAAAGCTACTGTCATTTAGGTGGATAACAAATCTGCTATCTCTATTGCTAAAAATCCTGTCCAACATGGAAGAACAAAACACATTAATGTGAAGTTTCGTGCCATTAGAGAAGCAGAGAAATCAAAAGAAATCAGGTTGGAGCATTGCAGCTCTGAGGAACAGATTGCAGATATCATGACCAAAGCCCTTTCCAAGGGTCAATTTGAAATACTAAGATCAAGACTTGGAGTGCTCAAGAAAAATCTCAAGGAGGAGTTGATGGAAATCTAATCCCCAAGGATCCATTTGGAAGAGGTAAGACCAAGAAAGGTGAAGGTTGATCCAAGGAGGCTCACCCATGAAGACCATTGGGCCTTTAACTAGGTCCATGGTTAGGAAGCTAGAGAAGACTTCTAAAGAGGAGGTGCTTCAAAGACCTTTGCTCATCATGAGCATTGATTATAGTTCCTCTTATTAGTCTCTTAAGTTTCCATTGTACATACTTGTATAGTTGTTTTCTTGTACCTTGTATATAGTAGATACTTGTATAGGTGTATTTTTGCCTTGTTGGTATACTGCATTACCGAAGGTCATTAATTTGTTAGTTGTGTCTGAAACTAATTCTGTTAATACTAATACTGAAATTATATTAGTTGTGTTGTGTCTTTTAAAGTTTAATTTTGATACACTAAATTAAAAATTACTGTTGGCTAATTAGAAAAAAAATCAAATGAGTTTTGAGGAAAATATTACAAAAATCAATAATTTTTTAATTATATGACGATCCATGTTTAGATGAGTTACAGTTTGTGTATTCCAACTAAATTCTTAGCTTCTTATGTGAATGTTGACCCAAGTGAACAAAATAGTACGCAATAAAAAATTGTTCAGATTGATTTTTATTAAATCTCAAGGCAAGACAGAGAACACCATCGTATGACATACTCTTTGCCTCCCTAGATTACGTACAATATTAATAATGATGCATGGTGAATTGGTGATGGAGTTATTGGTATTTATTATTTATGTAATTGTATAAATAAGGCTAGTCATTGTTACCTAATGTGCAAGGGAAGATTGAAGTTCTGTTTTGTTTGTTTTTTTATCCAGCTTCCTTGGTACTCCTTTTTTCCATTCCATGATTGCAAAATCACGTTCATACACATCAGAGATATCTGTTATCATTGATCCCGAAACTGTTATCCTTTCTGGATTCATCTCTACCCTAAACCATGTGTATGGACTTGACCATGATTGGCTTCTTGTTGCTTCGGTTCAGAATGTTTCTTACTTCCCATTCCACTTGGATGAGTCTGGGAAACATTGGCAGACAGATAATGGGAAACATGTGAAGATCCAGGAGGTATGAAAATATTTCAAGGGTCTAAGAGAAAGTACTCACTGAAAACTCATCTTGTCCACACTCAATTTTCATGCTCAAGAAAGTTATATTGAATTGTCACTCTTCTTCAGCTGCAGAAAATACTTCAACAGAATTGGCAGGGGAGTCATTGTTATACAAAAATGCTCATGGTGTGGAACAACAAGGATTTGCCTCTACATAATGGAGTTCTTCCTCCTTTCTTGTATGGTAAGGGGATTCACAACAATTGGGTGATTCATGAGGCCATGTCATCGGAGTTCAGATTATTGTTTGATGCTAGTTTGACCATAACAAGTTTCTATCTGAATGGTGAGGATGATCTTAGTCCTACACATGGTAATTCTAGTGATGTAGATATTGAAAATAGAAATTGGGAGTACATTGGCAATTCCCACATAGCGGCAAACTATGGCTCATTTTTCTACAGTGAAGCTAACTACTCTAGCATGGTCAAACTTTTAAAGTGTAATAAACAATACATTATGGTTGACACCAAGAAAAACATTGTTTATCCAATTGGACGCCAAGTTGCAATGAATCTGATGAAGGAAAAGATTTTTCCATCTTGGTTAAGGGAAAACACAATGTATTGCATATCTCGTATGAAATCACAGGCCAAATCATTGGATTGCTCTGTGAAGGATCAGAAGAAAATTCCAGCAACCTTGGAGCTTCCATTCTCTCTAGAATCACTCCTGTCTATCAGAGCAGACAAAAATAAATCAGTTACACTTACTGTTGCTGGTTATAGCTACAAGGATATGCTCATGAGTTGGGTTTGCAGATTACGAGAACTGTCCATTGAAAATTTTATTGTGTGTGCCCTTGACCAGGAAACTTATCAATTCTCCATCATGCAGGTATGTGCTATGCTTCTCTGCCGAAATAATATTTATTCAAATACTCATTTAATTATGATCAATGGAGAGCTTTCTTAACAACAGCAGCAAATAGCTTATTCCACTAGCTGAGGTCGACCCTTTAAATGGTTAATGCTAATTCTTTTATTAAGGGTTTTCTGTACAAGCTTCCAAATATTTTTGCCAACTCTTTAAAACACTTAGAAGAAAATGAGATCCATACATTTCATTGTTTTGGACTTGCATTATCTTTGTTTAGTCCAACGTACTGCGTCAAAGTTATCAAGAAATATAAGAAACAAATCTATCATTAATGTTGTTAATGCAAGTTATTTTTCATGGACAAATGGAAAATTGTTAATGCATGCTGCATAGTATCAATGCTTCATTAGTTCTACCATGATCTAAATGTTCTTGAAGCTTAATTAACTATTTCAGTGTGGGGTTAACTAGTTATCGTATCTCAATTTTCCATTTTCTGTTATGTTAGGGAATTCCCGTTTTCACAGATCCAATAGCTCCAAGTAACATCAGTTTTGATGACTGCCACTTTGGAACAAAGTGCTTCCAAAAGGTGACAAAGGTGAAGTCAAGAATTGTTCTGAAGATTCTCCAGCTAGGTTACAATGTACTTCTTAGTGATGTTGATGTGTACTGGTTTAAAAACCCAGGTCCCTTGCTTCACTCTTTTGGCCCTGCTGTTCTTGTTGCACAGTCCGATGAATACCAAAAACAAGGTGCTTATTTCACACTTGAAATTCATATTTTTTTTTTTCCAAACTAGGAGCATATGACTTGAGTAACAATGGTGCATAAATCTATCTGCTTAACCTATAGCAAAATTTCTATTCTGAAATCATTTATTTTGCATTTGAACAAAAAGCATTGAAGTAACCATCGTGAGTAAAGAACTTTCATGGTCAGACATGTTAAATAGTATATAAATGAAAAGCCGCAAGAACTTAATTTCTCAAGATTTTGGGTTGAATGGAGATATTTTTGGTGTTATAAATGTTCTTTTATCGTCATTTGTGCAGGACCAATAAACCTACCGAGGCGCCTGAACTCCGGCTTCTATTATGCTCATTCCGACACTCAAACAATTGCAGCCATAGAGAAAGTGGTAAAACACGCAGAAACTTCAGGATTATCCGAGCAGCCAAGCTTCTACGACACATTATGTGGGCAAGGAGGATCCAACCGTGTTGGAGACAACAAATGTGTGGAACCTGAAACTAACCTAACAGTACATTTCTTAGACAGAGACCTTTTCCCAAACGGTGCTTACCAAGACCTGTGGCGGGAAAAGAACGTAAAAAATGCATGTTTGAAGAAGGGTTGTTACATTATCCACAACAACTGGATCAATGGGAGGCTAAAAAAACTGGAGCGCCAAGTCTTGTCTGGTTTATGGGAGTATGATCCTGGCACAAGAATGTGTCTGCGACCATGATGTTAATTTTAAGGAAAGTTTTGATTCCTTTTTATCTAGTCTATGAACTCTTTTGTCCTCACTCGACTAAAAGCCATTGGTTTCCCTTTGTCTGCACGCGTGACAACCTCGGATTCATCGTCGGATTAGAGATAGCCGGCCTTAGGAAACTGAGAAGCATCCATTTTGACTCTCTTTAAATTGTATCTCTATGGCTCACGTTCTTCCGCTACCCAGCTTCAGCTTCTAAAAGACATGGTGAAACATTTAGAGTGCATGATAACTCTGAGGTGCAGGCTATGCTGAAGCGTGTGGCTCACTCGTTTGGCCTGGTAGAGCACAAAGAGAAAGGTTCCAGGAGGAAGAACCATTGTGAGGCTGCGGCGGCGCCGGAGTTGTACTTGCCGTCGAAGGACTTTGTTGTGAGGATAATTCATGCAGGTGGATATCAGGAACTGTATAGACATGCAGTTCCTGCGTCCAAGTTGATGGCAAAGTATCCAGGGATGTGTGTTGCACGGCCAGAAGTGTTCAGAGTTCCTCATGAATCAGTCTTGTGGCATGAAGAGGTTCTGTTGCCGGGTCACAAGTATATCCTCATCTCGTTTAGAGATGTGGAGAAGCTGAAACGTAAGATTTTTGAGGAAGGGAAGGTTAATGGGGAGGTGCAGGACAAAGTGAAAGTGCCAAATGGTGTTGCAGGCCATGAGGCATTGGACGAAGAAATCCATAGTGGACATAGTTACAAAGCGAATGGGAAAGTTCAAGAGCCAAATGGAGTTGCAGAGCAAAGGGTGGTGGAAACAAGCAAAACTGTGTCTCCCAAAGGCCAATGGAACAACAGTGTTGAAGAGATAGTGGACTCTAGTTTGGATAGTTCTCTGAGTGAAGGAGGTGTAGAGAACTCTTTTTTCTCTGCAAAGGATTTTTATGTGCCTAGGGAGAAGTCCAAAACCACTTTTTATGTCCCTAAGGAGAAGTCCACAATCACAACCACAACCACAACCACTTTTTATGTCCCTAAGGAGAAGTCCACAACCACAACCACAACTACAACCACAAAACCTTCAAGACGAAAAGGAATAAAAGGGAAGAAGCCTTTTGCGCCACCTCTTCCAAAGCAAAGACCATACCGGAGTTTGGGATGGCAACCGAGCCTCTCACCTGTGAAGGAACTCTCTCCATGATTTTGTAATGGATTTCCTTTCTGTAACTATTATTCTAGGGTGGTACTCGCGTGCCATTGAATTGCGGATTTCTCTTCATCGATCTAATAGATAGCTGTTACATCGTATTAATAAAATCTAAACATTATTCCCACGTTTATTTAATAAAAATAATATTGTTTACTTACGTATAAGGATCTCTGGCATATATATTAGACAGTAAAAGGAAAACTGAAAACCGTTCTTATAAAAATATTGTAGCATTGACAGAACTTCTCACAAATGAAATTTCCAAGTTATTCTCGTCACATAGAATCTAGATATCTCCATCACATCACATCTCATTATTTAGTTATTTATTAAATGCATACTTTCATATTATCTTGAGAACAATTTTTTTTTGTTTGCTCAGTGCTTACCTTCCAATTCAGGCTCTGTTAATTGGATGTATTGCTCTTGTACGTTTTTCACAACATTATATTGCTCTACAAAATTGGTCTTGACATTAAGAAACCTCATTGAATAAACAGGTTAGTGTCCCTTGAATCTCACAGCTCTATAATCGACTAATGTTTCAACAAGTGTATTTTATGCAGAGATGAGGCAAAAAGGTTAAATGAATCTGTTAAGTACAGACGTTGGGTTTTTACCAATATTATATCGCTGAATCTGTAACCTTTAAACACAATAAGGATTGCTAAGCTTTTTAACTTAGCTAGATAAAGAAAAATGTCTAAAAATGCTGGAGCTGATAAATTCTCCACTCATTTTCTTGCTTATTAAATTCCCATCCGAGATTAAATGAACGTGAGCAATCACAGGATTGACATCCGAACATAAAAGATTCATCCCTTGCCAATTGAGTTAAGAGCCTTCTACCCAAGATACCTGTGCTGCCACACCAATCCTCTTCTCTTCAATTTGTACCACAGAAAACAATCCTTTCAAAGATGGTGCTAGTAACTTGAATTAATCACATACACAAGGTTTCAAATCTTGGAACGCACCCTCATAAAATATAGGACAAAATCTTAGTCAAGATCCAAGTGTAGAGGACTGATAGACCAGCACCAACTGGAATAGTGACTAACCATGAAGCCACAATCTCCTTCACAGTTTCTGATCTAACACTGTTCAACCCCCTTGCAAATCCAACACCCATTACTGCACCTACTAGAGTATGGGTTGCAGAGATTGGCAGCCCCAGCTTTGAAGCAAACAGAACCACAGAAGCAGCAGCAAACTCAGCTGCAAATCCTCTGGTTGGCGTAAGTTCTGTTATCTTCTTTCCGATTGTAGCTATCACTCTATAGCCCCACATCATTAGTCCTGCAACGATTCCAAATCCTCCCCAAGCAAGAACATCAGTTGGAATAACAATCTCAGTTCCTGCAGCACCGCCTTGAAGAATAGCTAGTGCACCTGCCAATGGACCTATGGCATTGGATACATCATTTCCACCATGAGCAAATGACATGAAACATGCAGAGAGGACCTGCATGTACCCAAAGACTCCATAAACTATTTCCAGTTGAGCACCCTTTGGACCTGCAACATCGTCAAGGAATCCTATATTGTGGTGGACAGTGTCTTCTTTTGGCTCAGGCTCTGGAGTGTTTGACTTGACAAGAAGATGTCCAAGCTGTTTTCGGATGATTCTGTCAACCAGGAAAGCACCAACAGTTCCACATGCTAAAGCCTGGGCCAGTGCTAAAGGAAACTTCTTGCTAAGAGGGAAGGCAACAAAAGAAATCCCGGTAACACCCAGAAATACAGCAATTGGTGCGGCGGCAGCTGCTGCTTGTCCTGGGTTAGGTGCACTGTACACAAACTGGGTGGGGGAAAAGATATGAGCAGGAACTTAACATATTATCCTGTTGAAAATTTCAAAATTTGAAAATGGTAGTTTCCATATAGTCTTCTAGCAAAAACTCTTTTGGAAGAAGCCTCATAAAATGTCAATAATAAATTTTGAGTACAACTAGTCTGACTTTAGTTTTGATGCACGGCTAGTATAGACAAGTTTTACATTGTTCTAGAGATGTATTGCCATATCCTTTAATGAGTTTGACGGATCGTTTTATTAAACTCATTAAATGATAAGGTATCACATCACATCATTGGAAGACAGTTTAAAACTTTTTTACATTCAAAGTGCATATAAATCATAATCAAATAATTTTGGACTGAAAAAGCTTTTCTTATATATTTTGATTATTTTTCCTAGACTGCCTTTCAAACCAAAACAGAAAATGTTAGAACACTGAAGACAACATGTTGGAGTAAAAATCTTACCCTTCGGATGCATTTATAGACAAGAAATGACACAGCTGCTCCCATCAACGGTGAGACAACCCACGAAGAGATCACCCTTGCTAGTGAACCCCAGAACACAGCTCCAGCACCTCCATAAACTAGACCAAACCCCACCATTGCTCCCACTATACAATGTGTAGTAGATACTGGCCAACCATAATATGATGCACACTACACAGCACAAAATAATAATTAGTTGTTGAATCTCACTTTTGATTGTTTGAATCAATAAATAAAGCATAATTAATTTTATCTCTTGAACAAAACTACAAATTTAATGACCAGGTCACGATGGTACAATATATATTGCTTCAAAGTTCAATCTGTAAAGAAGCAAGCCATGCCTTTGCTAATACAAAGTTGAGCGAGCTCAATCTTTCCATTTTCCTAAATCATTCAAAACGATGCAATTTTTGTATGCAAATATCAAGGAAATTTGGTTTCAAAAGTATAGTTACAGAGTTTTCTCAATAACACGGTGTACCACATTCCAAATTAACTAAATAATGTGCTGCAAGCGTACTGGATTTTATTTAAAGGAAGTCTTGTAATAAAATGTATAAGGTAACAAACTAAATACCAACACGAATCACATACTCGTACCTGCACCACATCCCAGGTACTTTTATATGATTCTTATTTATATCCCTGTACTTTCCAGTTACAGCAACACAGCCTAGACACGTTTAAGGGGAACAACAAATTGCATTGCATATAAATACTTTGTATTAACCGCCAATCCTACCCCCTACCACTAATATCGGTTACAAACTAATTAAAAAAGTATTTGTTATGAGTCCCACATTGAATAAAATAAAAAGTTAAATGTGGTACTTATGTCATTAGGGTCTCTCACCTAATGGACTAATCTTAACATACTAGTACTATAAATTTGGCTCGTAAGGTGAATAACATCCTGACCCCTCATGTCCAAAACTATTGGGTTGATATACCATTTTAGAATCTAAGTTTTTAGATCTAACTCATTCTTATAAAATTAGTTTATAAGATAAGGGTTGCAGATTACTTATATACATAGTCTTATATTTAATCGATCACATCTCTTCACTGAAAGTGGGTTAAGGTCAGGGTTGTCACTTACATATACTATCTTTACTTATATACATAGTTTTATATTTAATCGATCACATCTCTTCACTGAAAGTGGGTTAAGGTCAGGGTTGTCACTTACATATACTATCTTGACCTTATCTCTAGTCAATTTCAGACTTACATTTTTTCTAGTACAACCAATTAGAAACCACCCTAATTAGATATGACTTTTAAAGTAAGAGCTTAATTTATATGTCCTTTTAGGATAAATTATTTTAGCTACCAACTGATTAGAAATCATGATAATTATGATTTTTAAAATGATTATTGTCAAAATCAACAAACTTATACAAGTTGTAATTGAATAATAGTGTAAAAACTACTTATACTGTTAGGCTTAGAGCATCTCTGATTTAAGAAGTCAATTTAGCTCTTAACTATTTTTTATTTGGATTGCGACATAGGATTAAAAATATATACATTATTTTTCACTCCAATGATAGAACCCAAATTGAGTTCTTAACTTACCTTTAGTGGGTATTATTTTATCTCTCTACTTCACACAAGAACCCCATTTTGACTTGAAAAATTATTTTTTAATAGTGAAGGGCCTTCGGTTGTGTAAATTTGTAATTGCTTAGATGAGCATTATTTTTTATAAGAATGCTGTAAGAACTCATTTACCCAACAATATTCACAAGTTGCTTTACTTTATGAACAAACTTTAAGTGTTGAAGGGAACAGCCAGCGACCTACTGGTCACGTTGAGATAGAGGCATGAAGACTTAAATATGGTCCTCATGTCTGTTGTAATTTTCCCTACTCATTTCAAAATAAAAAATTTGAACATTGGAGTTTCTCTTGGTACATATACTATTTACTCTTGGAAGTAATTATTACAAAATTCAATCATTTCAATTATACAACGAATCATGATTTGAAAAACATTATATTAAACTAGCGAAAAAACAGTCTCCGTGTATTTTCCCAAAAAATAAAATAAAAGATCAAAATATTTGAGGTTGAGTAATAGCGGGTAGTTAACAATTGGAGGATGTCAGATGTATTTGGGTAGCTGTAGAGATAAAATGGAATATAATTCTTAAGCTTAAACATAAAATAGACTATCGAGGAAAACACCTAATTTGTGTGCTCCTAGGGAAATTAGTCATGACTCGTGGCAGAAGATACCTTGAAAAAAAAAAATGGTAAAAAATGGAATATAAAAAGTGCACACCAAACCTATGGCATTAATATACAATATATAGTATTGATATAGATTCTTATTTTAATTAACTTGCGTTCTATAACAGCAATTATTAAGGGTCCATTTTGTCTAGAATTTTGATAATCACATGCAGAAACAATTAAAAAGCTTGATATATATATTGTTCCATTCCCTGTGACCTCACTTGACATACCTGTAACCAAGTACCCGCGGCAGCGAGAGAAGAAAGCAAGCCAGCGAAGAGCAGAGAGTCCTTCCCATGGAACACATTCGCCACGAGAATCCCCTTCTGCATCGTGCTGGTCACGTGCGTCCCCATCATCAGCGCCCCGGAGAATTCCAGCACCGCCGCGGTCACCACCGCCTGCCGCAGCGTGAGCGCGCCGGACCCCACCGAGGTCCCCATCGCGTTGGCCACGTCGTTCGCGCCAATGTTCCACGCCATGTAGAACCCGAACAGCAGCGTCGCGTACGACAGCGCCTTCGTCTTCAGCGCCGCCCCCTGCGCCACCGACCCCATCGCCAGCGGAAAGCTGAGCACCGCCGCCGCCATGCACACCGAGATCGCCCCGGCCGTGCGCGACGAAATGCCGAACGCCTTGGCGATTCCCCCCAGCTCCTCCTCCGCCTTCCGCGCTCCCTCTTTCTGCGCGTCTTGCTCCCCTTCCGCGAAGGAAGAGAGCGCGGCGAGAGGGTGCGAGAGTTTCATCTCTTTG